TTTGGGCATGCACACACACGTGTCTGGTGTGAGTTTCAAGCTGCCAGGTTCAGGATTCAACCACGGTCAGCCATGTGGGAGTCCAGCGCCTCAACCACCACACCACCTGTAAGTCTTTGAGACAAGGCGAATATCGTTTCTCCTCAAATTTTGGCCCACTAATTTTATGATAGCATCTCTTGGTTGATCTTGCCTGTGACTGTTATGTTGTGTTTGTAAATGATTTTTCAGTGTTATTTTTCAAAAGGAAAATCCAAGTCAGTGGGATTTTTTTAGTTTTGTTCAGGCAGTGGGCAGCCTCTTGGCAATGTTGTATTTGGAGTCATTTAGGCCTTCAACACTGAAAAACATTTTAGTTGATTAATTCAGCAAACATTTATTAAACCCCATTATGACCAAAGCATCTGTGAGAATATGCAAAAGGTGTAGTGGTTCTGGTCTGCATCTACATCTTTTCCACTGCCTCTACTTTTCACTCCAAACCACATTAATTACCATAATTTGGTCTGAGATGTTATTGCAAAAAATGCTGAGAATTGGAAGCCCAGGATACAGAGATGGGAACCAACTTCTAATTTTGCTCCATAGTAGCTATGTTACTAGCAGGATGAGTCTAATAACTTTTCAAAGTTCTGGTGTCCTTATTTTATTTATTTAAAAAAATTATTAATAATTGCCAGAGGGCATATGCACTCCCCAGAAAGATGGAGAGAGAGACAGTGAGCACCCATCAATGCTAAGTGGTTGCACCACTCCCTTCATTTCCCCATCCTGTTGAGATTTTGGGCATGCATGCACACACACATGATATGTTTCTCAAGATGTTGGGACTGAGATTCAAATCATGGTTGGCCATGTGGGATCTGGCTTCCTTAACTGCTAGGCTACAAGGCCAGCCCTAGTGTCTTTATTTTTTAAATGGAGAGTATAATGTAGAAATGTTGATGTGAAAATTAAATGAATGAATAAATTTGGAAGTACTTTTTAATCCAAAGGCATTTTTCCAATTATAAAGTCTTATACAAATTCCTTTCTTTTTCAACAAATATCAATGCTCTATTACGTATGAGTTCCTTTTAGGTGTAGGAATACAACATTGAAAGAGGATGGACAAAGTCTCTTTCCTCCAGGAACTTATATTTCAGAGGGAAAAGGCAATATACAGATAAACTGGTAATAAACATAATTTCATATAGTAATAAGTACTATAAAACAGGATGATGTAATAACCTATATGGAGGTGGGGGGGGTCAATCATGTGGTATCCAGTTCCCCATGCCTAATGCTTATCCCCTGCTTCACAGGACTAGTCTGAGGTAAGATCTTTAAGGTGGCTTGTTGGTTAAGGTGTTGGATCCCACATGGCCAACTTCGCAATTCAAGTACTGAACCTGGTGGCTTGAAAAACACACTCAGGGGAACCAGCAGTTAGCGTAATGGCTATGTCGCTGGATTCCCATGTAGTCGACTGCGGTTCGCGTACCGGACCCGGTGGCTTAAAACTCACGCTGGGCGCGTGTGCGTGCGTGCCCAAGATCCCGAGAGGAGAGTGGAGGAGAAGGGATTGCGGTGTGACCATCCCCCCTGGGGGGTGATTTCTCGCTTTCTGTCTCTATGTCTCTCTCTGTCTGTCTGGCGAGCGCACACTCCCTATGAGGAAAATCTTTCCCAAAAAAAAAAAAAAACACACTCAGTGCATAAGCACGCATGCCCAAAATCCCGAGAGAAAAATGGAGGAGAAGGGATTGTGTCATGGCCATCTCCCCTGCTGGCTGATTTCTCACTTTCACTCCCTCTCTGTCCCTCTCTGACGAGAACACATATACTATGGCCAAAAATATAATAATAATAATAATAGAAAAGATCTTTAAGATAAAGAGGAAGCAGCCATGTGAAGAACTGAGGGAAATCAAATAGAAAGGTGCTATGAAGGGAAGGGATTTAGCATATTAGAGGAAACCAGTAGACATTGACATTGTGGCTATGAGGTAGCTAGAGAGCAGTATAGATCAAGTCCAAGAGGGCAGCAGGGGCTGGCTCCATGGTGCAACAGTAATGCACTGCTCAGGAGAAGCCAGATTTCACATGGTGACCATGGTTTGAAGCCCTGGCCCAGTCAGCCTGAAACACATTAGGCATGTGCGTGAGGGCCCAAGGTCGGATGGGCTGGAAGGCTGGAGGAGAAGGATTGCGGCATGACCAGATCCTGTGGGAGTGCTTATCTCTCTCTTTCTGATATTTATGTGCATGCACATTAATTCTTCATGAATAAAGAAAAAAAAATTAAGATTGACGGGGCCAACTTATGTAGAGCATTGTAAGTCACAAAGAGGAGTTTAGCTTACCAGTGCAATAGAAAGCCACTGGAGGGTTGTTTTTTGTTTGTTTGTTTTTTGTTTGTTTATTTGTGTTTTTTGGAGTGGTTTTTGCTATAGGGCGCGTGGGCTCGCCAGAAAGACAGAGACAGAAAGCAAGAAATCACCCCTGGGGGGATAGACACGCTGTAATCCCTTCTCCATTTTCCTCTCAGGATCTTGGGCACATACATGCACCCAATGTGAGTTTAAGCCGCCAGGTCCAGGACTCGAACCGCGGTCAACTACATGGGAGTCCAGCGATGTAGCCATTATGCCATCTGCTGTTCCCAGCCCCTGGAGTGTTTTAAGCAGGGGAATTACATGATAATGCTTTTTCTTTTAAAGAGATTGTTCTGGGGCCAGCTGTACTCTAGCAGTCAAGTCCTGTACATAGGAGCTAGATCTCACATGAGCAACCATGGTTTGAATCCTGGCCTGGGCAGTTTGTAAAAACTTACCAGACACATTTGTGTGTGTCCAAAACCCCGACAGGATGGAGAAATGGAGGGAAAAGGTTTGTAGCATGACCACATTCCGTTGAGGGTGCTTTTTCTCTCTCTTTCTTTCTGAGTGCATGTGCCTTCTGGTAATGAGAAGAGAGAGAGAGGTTTATCAGGCTGCTGTGAGAATGACTGAGGTTGCTGGGAAGAGCAGAAGCAGAATGACAGCATGTGGTCTTCTGCAGTGATCAAGGGGAGAGAGAAAGGTGCTAGGCAAGCTTGGTTGTGGTAGGGTTAGAAGATACTATTTTTTGTTATCGACGTGCTTTGAATTGTATCCCTTCAAAGTTAATGTTTTGATGTCTTAGCCCTTAGTACCTCAGAATGTAACTTAATTTGGAGATAGGACCTTCATTTTTTTTTAAAGTAAGAATTATTTACTTGTTATTATTTTTTAATTTGACCAGAAAAAGGAGAGAAAGAGAGAAAGGGAAAGTGAGAAAGCAAGCCGCCAGTTCTGGGCCTCAAACTGCAGTTAGCTATGTGGCAGTCCAGCCCCTTAACCACCACGCCACCTGCCAGCCAGAGATAGGACTATAAAATGGGTAATTAAATTAAAATGAGGCCCTTAGGATGGGCCCTAATCCAATCTGACTGGTGTCCTCATAAGGAAAGCAAGTTTGGACGGGGGGAACCACACACACACACACACGGACACACACTCACATGGGGGGAACCACACACACACACACACACACACACACACGGACACACACTCACACATGCACGCACGCGCAGGCTGCTCTGGAACAGGACAACGATGCGAGGACACAGTGAGAGGTAGCCCTCTGCGAGTTAAGAGAGAAGCCTCAGAAGAAATCAAACCCACCAACACCTTGACCTTGCACTTCTAGCTGTGAGAAAATAATTTCTGTTGGTTAAGCCATCAGGTCTGGTATTTTGTTATGGCACCCCTAGCAAACTCATCCAGTTACAACGGTGGTGATTCTTCATGGTATTTATCACTGCCTACTAAGGTTTATGCTTTCTCTCATCTGATAGTTCCACAGTTAGTGCAAGAGTCGACATCTGATAGTTCCACGGTTAGTGCAAGAGTCAACATCTGTCAGACGCCCCACCCTAACCACAGTGCCTATGCAGTGCCTGAACCACACAGGCGTAAAAGTAACAGTGTTGTTACTTTATGATAGCATTCCGCATAATGTTCACCATGTTATACAGATTTTATTTTTTTACCTCTAATACACAGGAGATCCAGAGTTCATCTAGGGGCTGCAAACTCTAGATATGAGAAATAATATTGCAACAAGTTGGGGAAGCATAGTTCAGTAATGGAAATATGATCTTCCTTTGAGGCAGACCTTAGAAAACAAGGCCTTTTCTAAGCCGAGTTCTACTGATTTAGCCATTTTCCTAGCTTCATTTCCTGATTTTTGCCAAAATAAAATTAATGTGTGAAAAATACCTCCAGCAGAGCAGGTCTTTGTCTTCTACTGTACATGGTGTTGGCACAAAGTAGTATTTAATAAACTTTAATAAATGAAAATAATTTTCAAATTCTCTTATTAAACAAATTTAAATTACTTGAAATGTTCCCTTATACTTAGCATAATATCAGCTATTTTATAGAGGAGATAAGTGTTTTGCCTATTCTTTTGTCCCTTGGGATTGTATTGAATGTCCTAAATCAGCTCTTCACTTCGGGGTGTTTGACCTTAAATCGCCCTTTATGAAGACTCAGAATAGCTCAATGACATTGGCTCCACCTTGTGTCAAGAACATGGTACTACACCCACCCAGTGCCAGCTTGCCAAGAACCAGCCTTCAGTGGCCAAGCATTTTAAGTGGTCCATTGTTAAAAAATAATTTATATTTAAAATACATTATATAAACTTAATTAAATATTTTTAGAAACAAAGTTATGGGCTAACTGGTGGCATAGTAGTTAAGGCAGGTGTATCCCACATGGCTAACTTTATGGTTTGAATCCTGAACCAGGCGGCACCCAAAACACCCCTGTTGCATGTGCACATGTGCCCAAAATCTCAAGAGAATGGAGGAGAAGGGAGAGTAATTTCTCCATTTCTCTGCCTTTCTCTGGCTTTCTCTGGTGAGTGCATGCATCCTATAGCAAAAACTCTTAAAAAGACCACACAAATAAAACCCACAAAAAACAACATATTTGCTTTGGCAGCACTTATACTAAAACTGGAGGAATATAGAGAAGATTATTAGCATGGCCCCTGATGAGAATGACACATAAACTCAGGAAGCTTTTAGTATATTTTCTTCTAAATTTCCCAGAAGTCATGTGCACTTGCTGGAGAGAGACAGAGATAGAGAAAAAGAATAAGAAGTGAGAAAGCACCCCTTATGGGGCATGGTCACACCACAATCCCTTCCCCTCCATCTCTTCCTCCTTTTAGGATTTTTGGCATGCATGCACACATGCCTGACATGTTTCTCAAGCCACCAGATCTGGGACTTAAACTGTGAGATCGGCCATGTGGGTTCTAAGCTGCCTTAATCATCAAACAATAGGCTGGACTATATTTTTTTTCAAGTTATTCTGTATGAATGCAAAATAAATGTTTTTATTAACAAAGAAAAACAAAATAATACTAAAAATGTAATATTTTCCAATTACTTTATTACATTATACTCTTTGTTTTTAGAGAGAGAGAGTTTTGCTATAGGGTGCGTGCACTCACTGAGAAGACAGAGAGAGACAAGAGAGACAAAAAGCAAGAAATCACACATACTCCTACCCCCCCCCCCCCCAAAAACACCCCTC